CAACCGGCCTTTACGGGTCTGTTCTGCCCTCAACTTTTCAAATCTCTGTTATTCAAGGCAAAAACTACTGCTTGCCTTGATATCACCTCTCCTTTGGTCCAACAATCTGTAGTATAAAGGGAGTCAGAAGATTTGGTCTTCTCCCAACCAATAACAGAAGAGGATGTCATAACTGTTCCGCAGATGTTCTGCGACCTCGTCCAGAAGCAATGGGCCTCTTCAGCAGCGTATCCCTCTCCTACAGGATATGAAAATAATTTTTTTTAATTTGCCTTCTGATTTCTCAAATTTTCTTAATATGCCAGTTATAGCAGGTTACAGCTCGCTGATTGCTATGGGTCAGACATTGGCAAGTAGATATTAAACACAAATCAAAGCTTGCCTCTTCCCCAATATCGGGAAACAAATTGCTTGGCGCTGCTCTAGACCCGCTTCAGATAGAGACAAGAAGCAAGAAAAAGATCATCCCCTCTCTTTTTCGTAGATCAGAAAACAACTTCCCAGCCCTTTTGTCCCTTCTATCAGGGGCAATACTCTCCAAGATTCCAGAGAGCTTCTGGATTTAAGAAAAACCAACAGCCAGATAGATCAGACCTTGGAGATAGGTACCGGAGGGGAGGGCAAGGTAAAAGACCTTTCCGTGGGGCAGGAAATAGAGGTTTCCGACGCCCAAAACAGGCTCAAGGACTGTGCCCCTATTGGCGGAAGACTAAAACTTTTTGCAGACCAATGGGATTCCTCTACCTCTGATTCCTGGGTTAGAGACACCATCAGATTCGGTCTGGCTCTAGAATTTCAATCCACTCCCCGAACTTTTTCATGACATTCCCTTTATCCAGGAATCCTATTAAAAGGAACCTGATGGAAACAGCTATTAAACATTTATTAGAGATCCGGGCAATCCGATCTGTGGCACAAGATCAGCAAGGGCAAGGTTTTTATTCGCTACTTTTTCTAGTTCCAAAGAGTTTGGGGGAATAGAGGGCAATTTTGGATTTAAAATGACTCAATCGTTCCCTGGTGTATCGGAGGTTTAAGATGAGTACACTGCAATCCATTTTACTCAGTACAAGAAAGGGCGACTTTTTAACCTCCACTGATTTTAACGGAGGCCTATTTGCACATCCCAATTAGACCATCACATAGCAAATTTCTTAGATTTTGTTATAACAACCAACATTTTGGATACGTCGCCCTACCTTTCGGGTTATCCTCTGCCCCAAGGACATTTACGAAGGTGTTGGCAGCTCTGGCCGCACACCTTAGGGGTATACCTGTCAGGTTGCAGTGTTACTTAGATATTTTGTTATTATCATCATCGCAAAGACAAGCTGAAATAGACACTCAAATCACCTTACAAATCCTTCAACATCATGGTTTTTCCATTAACTGGGCAAAGAGTAATCTGTCTCCGTCAACTAGTTTGAGTCACCTGGGCACTATTACAGATACAGTTCAAGAAAAAGTTTTTCTATCCCCAGAAAGATTAGAGAGCACTAGAAAATTATCTCAGGAAATTAGAACCCTTAAGCGTGTTCCTCTTGCCAACTTATCTACATTATTGGGGGAAATGATATCCTGTATTTCTATCATCCCATGGGCTCGGTTCCACACTAGAAATCTCCAATGGTACCTACTTCCGTACCAACGGTCGGGAAGAGGCAACTCCAAGGCCCGTGTCATCGTGCCACTGAAGGTTCTGATATCCCTGCACTGGTGGACCGTTCTGAACATCAACAAGGGTTGTCCCTTCAAAGAACCCCACAGACTCACCATCACTACAGATGCTAGCCTGTTTGGATGGGAAGCTTACTTCCAGTCCCTCACGGCTCAGAGGTGTTGGTCAGCAACAGAACGGGTACTCAGTATAAACTGGTTGGAACTCAGAGCAATCCACCTGGCTCTTCAAAGTTTCCTTTCACATATTTGGGCAAAGAACATCCTCATACTTACCAACAACATCACGACAAAGGCCCATATAAACAGGCAAGGGGGTACTCACTCGAGACAACTCATGAGGGAAGCGGAGAGATTGTGCCTTTGGCCAGAAAAGAACTTGATCTCCATCAGAGCAGAGCACATCTCGGGCTTGTCAAACACATAGGCAGACTGGCTGAGCAGGGGCACAGTCAACCAGTCAGAGTGGTGCCTGCACCCAAGTTTGTTTCAGGAAGCGGTAGAGATTCAGGCAGCAGGTCATAGATCTATTTGCTTCTCCTCTGAACTCACAGCTTTCGAGGTTCATCTCGAGGTACCCAGCTGAAGGGGCGGAGAATATCAATGCTCTCTATTGTTGGTGGCCCCCAGAACTTCTATATGCTTTCCCCCCTCTTCCAGTGATTCCCGGGGTGATCCAAAAACTGTTGGAAGAAAAAGCGGAGCTGTTGTTGGTGGCACCATACTGGCCTAGGAGGCTGTGGTTTGCGGACCTTAGGGATCTGTCAACAGAAGATCCTTGGAGGATTCCCCCGCAAAGAGTCTCGCTCACCCAGGGTCCGATTCAACACCTGGATCCTCAATGGCTTCACCTAGCTGTATGGAGGTTGAGCGGAGACATCTGAGAAGCGAAAATCTCTCGCACAGAGTAATCAGCACGATCCAAGCGGCCCAATGCCCTTCAACAAACTGCACATATAATGCCACATGGAACATTTTCTATAAATGGTGCATTAAATCCAACATTGATCCTTTCTCTGTCAGTGGCACAACTTTTGGACTTTCTTCAAGGGGGTCTTGACAAGGGTCTCTCACTGAACACCTTGAGACGACAGGTGTCAGCTCTGGCCTTGGTTGTGACATGGTAAGGTCTGAGATCTATCTCACACCACCCACGCATACGGAATTTTCTTCGGGGTGCCACGAATTTATGCCCTCCAGTGGTGCACCACTACCCGACCTGGGACCTTAACAAGGTCCTCACAGCTCTTACAAGGGCTTCTTTCGAACTACTAAAAACCACTGGTCTCCACTTTCTCACTTACAAGGTGGTTTTCCTGGTAGCAATAACATCAGCACAATATATCTCAGAACTAGCAGCCTTATCAGCTCGACAAGACCTCTGCATTTTTCATTCTGACAGAGTGGTTCTTTGTCCAGACCCAACATTCATCCCAAAAATTAATTTGGCCTTTCACAGGGCACAAGAACTGGTCCTCCTGAACTTTTGTCCGAGACCGTCTCAGGGGCTAGAGCGTCAATGGCATCGACTAGATATCAGGAGGGCTCTCCATATATATGTACTTACACCGAACTGCACCCTTCAGAAAGACTGAGGCTCTCTTCATTTCCTTTCAGCCAACCACTCAGGGACATGAGGTATCACCTTCAACTATAGGCAGGTGGTTGAAAGCCACAATAGCTAAGGCGTACGAGACTCAATCACTACTAGTGCCCAGTGACATAACAGCGCATTCAACCAGGAGTGCCGCAACTTCAGCAGCTTGGGCCGCACAAGCACCAATAACAGAAATTTGTCGTGTGGCAACATGGGCTTCCCCATCGCCTTTCATTAAACATTACAAAATTGATGTATTTGCCTCAGCTGAGGCTTCCTTTGGTAGGAGAGTTTTGCAACGGGTCCACAGGGACCATGAGGGGACTCCACTCCAGACGGAGACCCCCGCATAGGACAAGCCAAGCTCTGGTATGTCCCACTGCTGGATGCTCGGAGCAGCTCATTGGAGAAAGGGCGTTGATACTTACCTGATATGCTCATTCTCTGTGAGCTGTGACGAGCATCCAGACCCATCCAATTTCCGTCTGGTGGGTTCCTGGTCCAGCCAGACTACCAAAAAAAAAAAAAAGGTGAGGGTTACATCTCTTCGTCTTTGCAAAAACTGGGGGACGCTAAGGAGGAGTACGTGGAGGAGTGTCCTATCAATCAAACCCAGCCTATCAGAGCTAAGTCTAAGCACCTCCCACTGCTGGATGCACGTCACAGCTCACAGAGAATGGGCGTATCAGGTAAGTACCAACGCCCTTTTTATTCCCACCATTGCTGGCCTTCGACCAATGGATCCTCCTTTAAGCAGCAAGCCAGAGGATCTTAAGGATATGGTTTTGGTGGCCATTAGGCAGGGGATTGCTGAGGGGTTTCAACAACTCCTTTGCCCTGCGGGTGGCCGCCAAGGCAGGCTCCCGGCCTTTTGTCAAGTTATCTTCCTGTCCAGCCGGGGTTTTCCAGGTCTCATGAATATAGGTTTCCTGCCACTCATTCTGAATGGGGGGATTATGAGGACAGGGATTCTATGAATTCTTCCAAACATAGTCAATTCTCCATTTCAGAGTAGGAGGAAGGTGAGCTTAGGTAATCCAATCTATCGGAGGATGAAGGATCTAGGCCTGAGCAACCCACCTCTGTGACCATTTTGCTGCTAGAGAGTCCAGTCCCACCCTGTGTTTGTCTGGTCTTGGTTGGGGAGGGTTCACTTTTTTATCTTCCAGAGACACTCTATGTCTGTCAAGTTTCTTCGCCAGAAAAACTGGAGCTAACAGCAGAGGCTGGCTTTTTATGTTATGGCAGATTCAGCTTGATGACATCAGAGGGAGGGGTCTAAACCATTCCTGGACTCTCTAGCAGCATGTATAGAAAGGGCGTTCTCAGGTAAATATACCAATGCCCATTTTAACTTCAGGCAAATATGCTGGAAATTTCTGTAAGTGGTTGGATTATATAATAGTTTCTTAGTCTGACATGGTTATATAGGAAAAAGAGGTTATTTAATTTTAACAAACTTGAATAATCTTTATGGGTGTACATATGATGCAAAGATAAATGGCATTTATAATTTGTAACAATAAAAAGATATGGAGAAGTAATGTAAAACAAAGTTAAACCATACATTTTTATCTACATATTAAGGATCAAATGCCCTTAAAATTTAAAACAAATGAGCCTTCACTGAAAGTAACATTAGGAAAAATACCAGAAGATGCATCAGTTGTCAAAAATATTCATGATATGAGATGGAAGTTCATTTAGTGCAGATCTATATGCTTCTCAAAACTCTCAATACAAATGTCCAGAATTCAATTTGGATTCAGAAATGAAGGAAAACTAAGGAGGAAAAATATTTCATAGCCTCTGCTTTTGCCTTTCCTTCTCAAGACGACCTATTCCATTGGAATCAGATATTCAGATTTGTTTCACTGCTTTGAAGCTACAGATACAACCATAGCTCTATTTCTGTTTCTACTGCCCCATTAATACCCACTTAGACAGCGAAAGAAACAGGCTCTTGTTTGCAAATACCAATCGTTCCTTTTGGTATAGAGCCTTCATTAGATCCCAAAATCATGAGCAAAGACTGCCATGAATTGACACCTGGAGACAGCACATACCAGATTTTGAGTACAGGTATACATATACATTCCTTAATTCATCAACACTAACACTTGTGCTTTTCACATAATAATCTGTGATCTTCCTAAATAAAAGTTAGTCTAAACTTGCTCTGGTGCAACAAAAAGTTAAACAATTCTTCATTTTTCATTTGCTTACTGTAACCAGATAAAACCACTACAATTAAGCATTAAATAAAGAAATACATCCTTCCTTGAAAAAGGAATGAATCAATAAGGGTACATTTTTAAGCAGTTTCCTGTATGGAAATACTCCCATTACTCATTATGAGATAAACTAAAATTTGCCTTGCTTCACTTAACATACCTAAAATGAATGCTGCTACTAGTCAGGAATTCTTTTTTAAAAAGATAAGATTCTACTAAAGCAGCTAAGAGAATAACAATCTTCAGTTTGCAACCAGTTTAAATAAAATTATCAGCATATAAATGTAAAAGTGTTCTGAGAATTCTTTGTAATTTTGCACAAGACTGCAGTTTTGAAGAAAAAAAAATTTTTTTTGGTGGGAAGTACATCACAGTCTGGCAAAGTGCTGTTTTAACTGATTAATAAGTTGCTGAGAGTCGACATGCTCTGGAAAAATTTCTTTGGACTTCTGAGCTTCTATATAGCTTCTTTGGAGATCTCCAACCTGCAGAAAAACAAATAGACCAAATGACATAGAAATGCTACTAAGAGCCTAATATGTTAAGATTTCATCTAATGATTCCCTTTTAAAATATTTATATTCTGACATATATAGTAAGGCACAACCCTAATTTAGCTTCAAAAAGTTCATGTCCTATTCATTTTGAACTCTAAGGCACTCTGCATAGTGCTGTCTTTGAACACAGTACAGATGCATGGACTGCTAGGATGAGACTGGAACAAATATTTCAAATGGGCAAATTATATAAGACTTCTGCAGTAAAAGTTTAATTTGTGAATTTATTGCTTTTCTTTCTCCTTTCCAACCTATTTTCTTTTTTGTCAAATCTTCTAGGTACTTCAGATTTGTCTTTCATTTGTAAACTGATCTACAGACTTCTTTTCAGACAAATTTCAGGACAAAAACACTTAAGATATACAAACTAATAAACATACATATGAAAAAAAAGGGTGATGACATTACCTTTTCAGACAAGACAGCAAAATTGAAATGTGGCTCATACATATGAGGTGCTATTGATGAAGCCGTCTGCAGAAACACTCTTGCCTAAAACATAGAAAGTGTTTGTATTTGTACATCAAAATTTGTACATTTGTACTAACAACCAACATCTTCTGTGGACAGTGTAAATGTTTTTGAAACTTAATTTATGCTATGGTTCATCTGCTAAACTAAAGCATGCTAGCTGGGAATTCTGGGAATTTATATCCATACATTTTAAAGTTGCCAAGTTGAGGAGCACTGCAATTAATTTGTTCATAGTTATCCAAAGAGCAAACCTTAAACTCTATACTGGTTAAAAGTATTCAGAGAAATTCATATATAAAAAAGAATTACATTGATTTCATTTTTCCACAGTGTTTTTTGGCTTAGGTATGGCACCCAATGCTACAAATACAAGTTTCACAACCTCCAGGACTCTGCCAGTGGGTTTACTTTACAAATGCACTTTACAGTATATGCAACTCTTTTTCTTGAATGACTGATTCAGTGGGCCTTTACAGCTACCATATTTTTTACCAAATTACAGTGTTTGTAACATAAATTGACTCAATGAGGATAGCTTAAATTTCTTCTCCATATTATGTTGTACTGGCCATTCTGGTTTTCTAGAATTTAATTTTCCAAATTGCAAAACATTTGTAGTGTTTCAACCAAAACAGTTTTAGGCCAGACCAGAGGATTAAAGAACTGAAAAAACCCATTTCGGCTGTATTGGTACAGCCTATAAGCAGAATTGGAACATTTTGTAACTCTGTGGAATGTTCTGCTGCTGCAAAACTACATTTTGTACATACCAAATTTAAACAAATCTTCTCCTGCCCTACTTTGGATTGGTTAAAGGCATTTGCACAGTTGCTTTTCCTATCATTGATACAGCCTATGAGCATTACCATGGTTCTCATTCACCTCAAAGAATATTATTCCTAAAATACATTAGCTATAGAAACTTAAAGACCCACCTTCCTTTAAATTAGATACTAACCTGCTCAATATGACCTTTTTGCATTTCCAACACAGCCAAGTTATTATAGGATTCTGCATGGTCATTGTTGTTAGCCAAAGTCAATTTGAAACATTGATGAGCCAAGTTTCTATCACCTATTCCCTGAGAAGTTAAAACACAGAATATATCCATAGTTTCTATATACCAGGTAATTTTTCCCTATGCAGATATTATAAATCTGGATATGTGTCACTCTTGCTTCTTCTTAGTCCTGAAAGGATTGAATTGGGAGTGTCAAAAAAGATGTTTCATACAATGGGAGTGTAATTTTGGCAAGATTTGTGACACGTGGGGTTTTTAAAACAACACTTAAGGATGGGGACTTCCATTCAAATCTTCTCTGTAAAAAAAGTGGGAATGGAATTAAATTCTTTCATTTGTATTTACTTTTCAAATTTATATTGCTGCCCATTTTACAAAATGATTCCTAATTTTATTATTGTAGAAAACAGTGTTGTACTATCTGGATTTTTTACTGGATTCAGTAGAACTTGTATTAAATTTATTGAAAGAATAAGAAAGGAGGCAATATTATGCATTATTTCTGTTTAAATGGAAGGTATTTGACAAAATTACCAAATGATAACCACTTTTTGCCAGAATTTGTTTATAGCTACAGGATGTGAACATGCATTTAACTTGGGAAATTAGACCACTAGAACTAGTCATGCAGAGAAATATCCTATTCTAATTCCTGTAAGTCTGGAATGAACATATTTCCTTTAGTTGGGTCTTCATTTTGATTATTTACATCATTTGTAATCCTCATATTTCCTTCCCTTTTGTGGTACTGTCATCATGCCTCTTGCAGGGTTACAGGGTGCCTTTGAATGAGTAGGGCGAACATTTTTTGCCCTCCTGGTGAATTTTGTGGGGTGAAATAAAAAGTAACTAAAACTGCAGGTTATTCGTCCCTGAGAAATATCTTTAAATCTTTACTAATTTTTTAATTAGTAAAGTGAATTCAGCAAATTATAATGAGAATTTTATTGGATCAGTATTAAAATCCTTATGTTAGCCTACTTTCATTTTTCAATCTTTCACTTCAATTATCAACACACAGAAATGAGATATATTTTTACAAGGAAGTTTTCAGAAGTCACTTTCTTTCAAATTTAACTGAACCAAGACTTCCTCTCAAAGGCTGCTTCTCCTTGAGAAGTCTTACCCTTGAAATGTACATGATGTGAAAGTTTTGTTTGGAAAATCTTCAGGCAGGCTACATCAGTCTTCCTTACAGCAACATACTGTATAAGAACCCTCCAATGAGACTGTTTCTATCTTTTCCAAGAGGAAATAAATGTATTGTGATATACAGCATGCAAAAACATTTCTTCTTGCATCTTTCTGGTAGTTGATAAGTAGGTTATAGGCCACTAACGCTTTCTGGGTTATAATCTAATCATTTCTGCATAAATATTTCATCAAAGTATCCTTAACAAGCATTATTCTTACCACAGCTACATGTCCCAAGTTGTACCACACATCTGCAGCTTGTTCCTCGCTTTCTGCTAGAGATAGTGCACGTTCAAATGAACTGAGAATCATGTCATATTGCTGGGCATAGAAACAGCAGAGGCCTAGATTGTTAAAGAGTTGGCTGTTATAAATGCCCATCTGCAGGAGCCGCCTAGTTCAACATAAAAAGTAAATAAGTCAATTTGTATTTTTGGAGCATGCTTCTTGAAAGTTTCTTGTGCTCATGCTAATTCTGTACACACACACACACACACACTCAGTAGCTTGATTCATGCTGACTTCATTGAGGCATCCATGAAGTTTTCTTAGGAACAGTACAGTCCTGCCTATTCAAGGATAGCTTTGATTTTCCAGTCTAGCCTACTGTAATGGGAATAAAGAATGCCCTTGAAAGACAGGAGGAAGAGCTGCTACCAAGGCAATGATAAGCAAGCATGGCTTGAGCCCATTCCAAGAAACTAGTTTCTTATAAATGTGCCAGGCCACTCTTTAGTTCACACTAATAGAAAATGAAGGAGGGGGTGAGGGCATTCAGATTTGCAAGATTCTGTTACTATAACTGTTACCTGATCTATATGGCATTCCTTTCTTAGAATGGTCTGCCTTGCAAAGCAGACATCTACAATCTAGCATTCCTTGTAATCTTTCAATAAAATACTTCCAAGGTCTCACCATTCTTAGCATCCTAGCTCAAGAAGGCTGCCATCTTTAGATAAAGTCAAAAAGGAGTTCTATATAATTATTTCATGGCATGGCAGTTTCTGCCCATCTCATTTAATATCACAAATTATAATCCATAGTAAGAATATATATACAGTACGTCTTTTTACAAGTGTCACCTCCCTTGGACCAGGGAAAAAACATTTCAGGGTACACGATCTCTGTATTTCTTACTGAACATAAGAAGAAACCAGGGTGCAATAGTTCTTATACCCTCATTTTCAATATGATCAGCATTTTCTCTCCTTTCCCCAAGAATTGAGCCTTGTAGTCTAAAACTGAGTTCCCCAACCTTTCTGGCTTTGCAGACTGGTAGGAGGGGTGGGTAGAGGGGATGGTTCCATGCAAGTGGTGGGTGAGTGTGCGTGTATTCAATTTGCACAAGTGGTGGGCATCTGCACCTCCATGCGCATGTCACCCACCACCTTCATAGCCCAGTTCCAAAAGGCTCAAGTCAAGTTGGCAACCGCTGGACTAGAACTATTAAATTTAGCCCTCTAACAAAGCACTCCTACTATAAAGGAACTTGCTGTTCAAAACACTGTGTAGTACCTTAAAGTCTAACCATTATTCTGTCCTTAAGTTTTCATAGCCTTTGACTATCTGACAGATATAATAAAATACTTTTCTTTTTAATTATCAGGCTATGCAGTCGAGCTAGCCTAGACTGATTCTTGTTCTGTAAAGTCAGGGACATTAGTACAAATAACTAACTTCTGTAACTGAGAAATCAATACAGAGAAACTCTCCATTTAGGTGAAAATAAAATATATTATTTAGATAGCAAATATATACTCTGGACAAGAAAATAGATATATAATTTTGAAAAATTAACAGAAAATATGTTTGCCACATTCTCAGGAGGTATTATCAGAAACACATGAAGCATTGTAATAAAATTATTTTACATGTGTGTGTCTGTCTTTCCCTATTTCCCATGTTAGATTTTTTTAATACATTAGTATTTCAGATGTAGGAGAATAGTCCATTAATAGCTTTATAGTTCTTGCAACAAATTTGATGGTAAAAATCTCTTGGCAAATGAGCACAAAGTAAAAAGATAGATGGATGGGTGAATGTTTGAATACCATTTTTATGTTGTCTGATTAATCAGTTGAGGACAGACCACAAATCAGTTCATGTGTTCCCAGGGTTATTAACACTGGTGGAAATGATGGAGACCTTGAATCTGTTTTTGACTACCTTGAGACTGTGGAACAGAACTAGTAGATATGTAGAAGCAATTCAAGATTCCCTTCTGTATTTTAAATATTTCTACAAACAATGTTCTGGTGAGACCAGTCTATCAGGGCAACCTGGTCTTCTCAAATATGGGACGGAGCATATTGCTTCTGCTTTCGCCTTTCAGCCCCAATCCAGGAACCTTTGCAGGCAGTTGTTTTCGCAACAAACTATTTTTGTGTGAATTTTATATTTCTACAAACACCTATTA